AAAATACACAGTACGTAGATTTTAAACTGCAAAACATTGTTAGCTAGAGAAGCAGTCTGACTGCAGACCTTGCACATGTGGAGCAGATGCTGGGAGTGGGGGGATCCCTGCAGGTGAAGCAGGGAAGGAGGCCTGAGCCCACCCCACACACCCCAGAGGCAAATTCTCCCAATGGTTTGCAAACCACGGGGCTTGACGCTCACCAAGGTCTGGAATCCAAGTCTAATCCCTGAAGGCCACTGTGGAGTGGCCATGACAGCCCTCACCACTGTCTCTCTGGCCTCGGGCAGTGGCCAGGTCGTGGGTCTGTCTGTCCACCTGCCGCGCTGGGGTGGCCGCAGTGAGAAGGAGCCCAGAGGCTCCCATCTCCGGGTCCAGTGCCAAGAGCAGCTGGCGCAGGGCACAGGCAGCGAGCTGGGGAAATGCCACCACTGCCTGCTTCCCAAGTTTAGGGAGAAAGGTCCTCAGTTTCTCTGAGGGTGTGAACAACCGCAGGTCACGTGGTGAGGTCACGAAGCCACTGGAAGGCTTACTGAGCTCCTCGGCCATGGAGAGCCCTGGTACACTAATCCTCCGAGACACAGAGCACGGCTGCTGGCACAGACCCGGGCCAGACTTCCACCTCCTGCTTCTCCTGGCTTTGGCATTTGAGGAGCACCAGGCACTCTGCTGTTTGATGGGAGGAATGTTCTGCCTTCTCGTGTTGTCTTGGCAGAGAGAGGACCCCTCCCAGGTTCTGTTCTGTTGATCTCAAGGCTCTGCTTTCCGCAGCTGTCAGAGGCTTGAGTCATGAGACACAGGCTGTTCTGTTCCCTTGGATTTCAGGATAGCTTTCTTCTTCTATTGATGGCCGAATCTTTGCAAAAAACAAAACAAAAAAATCATTTCTAGTACATACAGGGACTTTCAATTAGCTAGAATATGAGATTAATGCAAGTGCCTGGTTTCTCGCCCATGACATTGAGTAAAAGGCCAGTGTCTCTTTGAAGACTGCAGCTTTCTCAGGTTGCAGGGGTGGAAGCTGAAACCCAGGAGCCCTAGTAATGGAAAGAGAAAAAAGCATTCATTGAAAGCCCATCATTTCCTTAACAGCCCAGAATCAGAGAAGGTTGGACCCAGAAGTGTCCTAGAGACCATCTAATCCAACTCTTGGCTTCCCAGATGTGTCTGCTTAAACCACTGTGTTACTAAGAGTTGTGTGTTGATTGTGTTTGTTTTTATGAACTCCCCAGAGGGTTCTGTTCCCTGAGATTCCCCCCAGGGCATGCATGCTGAGTGGTCATGACTGTGAGTGAGGGGAGAAATCCAGGGGAGAGGACAGCGAGGCACAGCCTTGCAGAAGGCGTGTGATGTGTGCATGAGGACAGGGCAGGGAGCAGGCTGCGGGCCGGACTGACAGCCCGGGCAGAGCTGCAGGAGAGACTGACAGGGACTTCCCAGAGGGCCGCTGAGAACACGGGACAGGGGTATAGAGAAGCGGGCCTTGAAAGCCAGAATCAAGAGTAGTGCCCAATTTTTACATAATCGGGGCCCCTGATGCATCCCGAGGTTCCATGGCCTCACCTCTGTTGCTTCTGCTGCCGCCCTGACCATGGCTCTTCTCACGTCTCACCTGGGAGGGCTCGATAACCCACCTGGTCTCCCCGCCTATGTTCTGCCCAGCCACATTCCATAAAGGCCCCCACCTCAGGGGCTTTCTAAACTCCAAGTCCCTCCCCCTTCCAAGGCCCTTCCTTGGCTTCCTGTTGCCCACGATCCTGGCTTATGTGGCTCTGTGTGGCCTCGCACTGCCTCCTCCTGCAGCCCCACCCCCACTGTGCCTCTGACCTCACCAGGCGCCTGGTTTCCTCGGCCGCCATGCCGTTGAACGACTCACTGCCTCTGCCCAGCCTTCTCCTTCCCTCCCACTTGCTTTCTCTGACTAACGAACTCATATTCATCCCTCAAGACCCAGTGTAAATTTCTTTTTGGAGACGCTTTCTCTGACCCTTGAGAGGCCACGTAATGCCTTGACTGTGTTTCTGTTTTGAAGCTGACATTGTGATGCAACGATCAACTTCCAAGATACTGGCGAGTCCCACTTTTGAGTGTGTACAGTGCTGGGCCAAGCCCCAGCTACAGTAGGCCACGAGGTGCCTTCTGTCACAGATGCGGAAGCTGAGATGCAGAGAAGGGGTATGACTTGCCCAAGGCAGGCACCTAGAGGATGGAGCTGGGATTTGAGCCCAGATCTGTTTGGCTCTATTTCTGCATCCTTTTGTCTCCTGTTCCCTGGATCCCGCTGTATCCCTTGGACCCCCACTGTAGGCCTTTGGGGTCCTGCTGGGTGGGTGTTGTCATGGTGTAGGCAGGGTGGGGAAGTGGAGGAGGTTGGAGGGAAGGCCTGCCTTTACTCTGGTGTTGAAATGATAAAAGAGACTCTCAGCCCAGCCCCCGCAGTGAGGGGTTCCCTCACACCTTCCCTTCCGAACAGCCGGCTCTGGCTGCCTGGGCACAGAGCTGGGGGACTCTGGGAGCAGGCAGGCGGCACAGGCGACACACGCACCATGGCAACCTGCCTCCTCTCTGGGGCCCGGAAGGGGAGGGAGGGAGGACTGGAGAGAGCACACCAACTTCTGAGTAGGATCCTGGAGAGGTGGCTCCCTTTGGGCCTGGGTGGCTTCTGCCCTCCCACGAGGGAGCCCGCCTACAAGGTCCCATCCCAGCAGGGGAAATGCCACTTCCACCTCTGTCCCAGAGGAATGGCTGGCTCTGGGCTCCCCGGAGACCACTGGGTTCATCCAGGTACAAACGCTGTCCCCTTCCCAGCACCCCTGGCCAGGGAGGAAAGAAGAGGGAGCGCAAGAGGAGGGAGGTGAGGTAGGAGCAGGGACAGCTGAGACAAAGCCCTCATTGTACTGAGGCCAACTCAGCTCCAAGGCAAACCAGGCATGTGGCCTGCCTCCCTGGACAGAGGCCTGGGCCTCCACCTGGAGTTTCTGAGCTCTGTAGCAACCCTGGCCCAAGCTGGCTTGGAAGAGTGAGGCCTGTCCTCCGACCCAAGTCTTGCCTTTGCCAGGAAGTCCTCCTGAAGGCACTGCCCCCTCAGTGCATCATCCCAAAAGCAAGAAGGGAAGGGGTGAGGCTCCAGGGAAGCCAGGCTGCCCGGGACTAGAAGCCAGGGTCTGTCCGGCCATGCAGCTGGGCCACGTCGGGCCAAAATCTGATAACAAATCACCCCTCTGGTCCCGTAGGCCGTGCCTTGATGGTCTTCCTGACAAGTACAGGGAGCACTAAGGTCCCATGGTTCCTCCTGCAGGGGCTGGCCCGACGGTGCCAGGAGGCCTTGTCCATGCCTGTGACCAGGGCATGATGGGTGGGACACCTCCCGGAGCTGGGACGAGCAGCTCAGGTCACAAGCCTACGCTGGGCACCCGACACCTCCGGGTAGACAATGCCACCTGTATCTGGGCCTTCCAGGGGAACAGGCTCCGTTCTGTGTCACAGCCAGGAAACAGGCCACCTGAGCGGTGCCTTTGTCCCCTTAGGAGGCAGCCCCGCCACGGGGCAGGCTGAGCAGGCTCCCCAGAGGCCCTGATGTGGGAAGGGGTGATGCCTGGCCAGGGGACTCCGGAGTCTGACCCCGGCTCAGTCTGAGCCTCCGCAGCTGGTGCCCGCCTGCCCCCTGTTGGCCCTGCCCCACGCTGGGGGTGTGAATGGGGTGCATCCCTCCCTCTTGGAGGCTCAGCTTCCTCATCTGTCTGGGGACTAATCACAGCGCTTCCTCATAGGGTTTTTGGGAGGAGCCCATGGCGCACTGTACGTAATGAGCTTGGCCCGGGGTCTGCGCGCAGTGGGGCTCGGTGAACGCTTCTCTCCAGCATGGGGGAAGGTCGGGGCACGGTGTCCTTGGCCACGTCTTCAGTAACCCAGGCTCTTGTCCTTAGTCCCTGCTCTGAGCATGGAAGGAGGGAACAGGGCTGTCTGGAGCCGGCACAGGACTCGGGGCGGCCCAGAGTCCAGGTCCCTTTGTCTCGGGCTCCCAGAGCTCTGCAATGACGCCCAGTACAGGACTCCTTCCTACAACAGCCAACGCCCAGCCCAACAGGGGACTTCCGGCCTCCTTAAACCCCTGTAGGCTGCCCTTGGGGCCTAAGCCTCTACCCACTTGTCAAGAGTGCCAAGGATGGGTCTCTGCAGGCCTGGTTGCTTCCTACTTGTTCCTGCCCACCAAGAACCACCCCCCCCCCGCCCCCAGGAGGGCTTCTGTAACCATTTGCCCCCTTCCTCATCTGCTTCGAGCTTGTGCTCTGTCCTGACGCATGCCAGTCAGCACGCATGTTTGCATGGAGGGGTACAGCATGCCCATGTGCCCCACGCATGTGGGGGGGGGCGGTTGCACGTCCCACTGCATGGGCAGGCCCCAAGCATGCTCCCGGAGATGTGTGCAGCCTGTCTCGGAATGGCAGGGGTGTGGTACCTTTTCACATTCATGTGTGTCCATATGTCTTTCTACATGTGTGCCGGTCTGTTGGTCTGTCTTGTCTCCCCATAGACAGGAAGCCCTAAGCCACACACCAGCGGGCACTCTGGGAAGGTGACGTCGAGACTAGCCCAGCCTAACTTGGGGTTCCTGGTCCTGCTCCAGGAGTGCTCCGGCCTGCAGCCCCCGCCAAGGAGGGAGGATTGTCCAGCGCGGGGTGGGGTCTGAGTCAGGGATCGGGGGGCCTGGCTTGTAGCGTTGAGGACGCAGTGCTGCGCTGGTGGTCAGGTGGCCCTGCCCCGATGCCTGTGTGACCTTGGGCAAGGCCTTCAAGCTTGCTGTCCACACTCAGTCAACTGGAGAACTCGGGGTTGGATCTATGATTTCTGGCTGCTCCCGAGGCCCTGACGACCGAGACTTTCAGTCAGGGCACAGGAGTGTGGTAACATCGCTGGTGAAGGCCGCTGTGGCTAGCGCCTGGCCCACCAGGCCCTCACTCGGTCCTGGGGTGTCCTGCTGAACGGTAAGAGGAGAAGCCATGCCAGGCAGCGGCCCCAGCGAGAGGATGACGTGGCCTGGTCCGGCCCTCCCCGCGGCACCCCCAACGCGCCCTCTCTCCTCAGCCCCGGGGACACCGCCTCTCCCGCCCCTCACCCGGACCCGCAGCCTCATGGCCATGTCCCTGCCGGGCAGTAGACGGGCCTCTGCTGGATCCCGCAGGTGAGTGTCCCCTTGGCTTTGGAGGGTGGGAGGAGGGAGGGTCTCTGCCCCCCCCCACTGCCACCAACTTACAGTGTGTCCCTGAGCAAGTCATCTCCCCAGTTTTCCCAGCCTTAGAGCAGGCTTGCTAACACTCACCTCCCCCAGGAGCTGTTGAAGGGCTCAAGTGACAGACACAGTGGGTATAAAGTTCTCTGACGTGTGAAACCCCTGGGTCCCTCCACCTCAGTATTGCTGTCGAGCTTCCCAGTGAGCAGAGGGGCCCTGTGCTGTCCTCCACACTGGCTCGCTTGGCCCTCCCTTTGGCTTGTGTGTGCCCCTCGTCCGGTCCCTACCCCTGCATGCCCCCTCTGCCCCACCCGTGTCAGCCCCTGCAGAGCTCACCCTGGGGCTCAGGGGACCCTGGAAGTTGAGGACCCCTAGCGAGGGCCAATGGGACCCGACCCTTGGCCCCGCCCAGCCTCCATTCCTGTCCTGGGGAGCCAGGAGGAGCGGCCTCCACCTGGTTTTCCATCTTGATTTGCGCTGTCTGTTCTGTCACCCATGTCTGTGCGTCCCCCTCTCTCCTGTGCTTCTCTCCCTCCCCGGCCCGCGACCCCACAGCGGGGGCCCTTTGGGCCGCAGCGGCCTGGCGGTGTTTGCCCAGTGCCCGCAGCTGCCCGCCAGCCAGAACGAGCACCTGCCTCTTCTTCCTGCCTCCAGGCGCACCTCTCCCCCCGTGAGCGTGCGGGACGCCTACGGCACCTCCTCTCTCAGCAGCAGCAGCAACTCAGGCTCCTACAAGGGCAGCGACAGCAGCCCCACGCCCAGGTAAGCCCCCTCACCCCCGTGCCTGGCCAGCTGTGCCCCTGCACCTGTGCCCCGTGTGGCTAGGCAGGCACTGGCTGACTCTGGCGTTCACAGGCCTCCAGCAGCTCGTTTCCCCAGAGGCTCAGTTCCTGCCTGAGAAAGGGAAGGGGAACTACTGTCTGCTTTGGGACTCCCTGTCCCAAAGACTGGGGCTTACACGAGCCAGGGGTGATGCTCCCAGAACCAGGGCTCAGCAGCAGGCAGCTCCCTGAAGTGTTGGGGACCCCATCCCATCTTCCTGCTTCATCATCCTTGGGGTATAGCTTTTGTCCTCACCCTGACCAGAGGCTCCTACACCCCTAGGCATCAGGTCAGCATCGGGGCCAGGAAGGAAGAAGGTAGAAAGGCCACCCCCATGACAAGAAGCTCATGTTTTCTGAAAAGGGACACCTACCCCAGGGATTCTGTCCACACCTGGCTGGCACTGGGGGATGGCACTGGCTGTGGCTGCCGGCCAGGTGGCATGGGGGCCACCAGCATTGTCCCTGGTATCCCAGCTCTGTGCACAGAATTGGGGTTCTCCTGGGGAAAAGACAAGAATGGAGAGGGGCAGGCCACTCGGACGGGGGGCCACCTGTGTGGCAGCAGGGGTGCCCCTGGCTTGGGAGGCTGAGTGTAGTAGGATGTGGCATAGGCTATGTTGTGCACTCAGGAATGGCAGAATGGAACCAGAAAAGCAGGCTGGGGAGGCAGGTGAAGTGATGCTAAGCATTCCATCCTGATCCCCCAGCGGAGCCCGGAGCTCGGGGAGCGCGGACTGGGCGTTCACACTTCCTGTCCCTGAGCCTGCATTCCCTTATCTGTCAAGTGGGGCTAACATCCCGCAGTCTTCGTTGAGTCGATGTCTGCAGGTGGCCCATAAAGGGGAGCTGCCACCATGAGGATTTGGGTCCCACATGAGCGTCCCAAGCCACCAAGGCTGGCCTGTAGCTCCGTCGGCCACGTGGGAAGGCTGGTCTTGCTCTTCCAGCGGAGAGGATGTCATTGGTGGGAAGCGATACTCAGATTGCGCCGAGGCAGCCATTCTCAGAGTTTTCCACCATGACGCATGGAATGGGTGACGCACGCGTGTAGGACCCATGCCCCAGCCTCCTGGCCAGGACCCCACCCCAAGCACAAGGAGTGTGAACACGATGATGTGCTCACATTTTGGATAGTACCCAGTTGGCAACTTGAACACTTTCTCATTAGCAGCTCATTTTTCCCGTCATAACTGCAGTGCGCAGGGATGATCCCAGCCCTGAGGCTGTGCGCCGTCCCCGTGGGAGGGTCTTCTTGCCCATGTGGACAGTGGCGGCTGTGGGCGAGGAGGGGGACCTTGACTGTGGCCTCAGTGCACACAGGCACCCTGAGGTGGGAACAGCAGACACCCATGGGTTACAGTATCCTCTTCTTCTCGGTTATTTATTTATTTATTTATTTAATTTATTTTTTTTTTAAAGTTCAATTTCTCTTTCCAATGTGATTATTTTTAAAGATTTTATTTATTTATTTGACAGAGATCACAAGTAGGCAGAGGCAGGCAGAGAGAGAGGGGGAAGTAGGCTCCCTGCCGAGCAGAGAGCCTGATGTGGGGCTCAATCCCAGGACCCTGGGATCATGCCCTGAGCCGAAGGCAGAGGCTTTAACCCACTGAGCCACCCAGGTGCCCCCTTCTCGGTTATTTATATATATTTTCTGCAAAGATAGAGCTAATGACTAAAAATGTATGAGCGTGAAATACCATATTAGAAAAAGCCACTTGGCAAATGGGAAGAGTGAAAAGTGCTTCTTCTCCAATTCTCAACTGTCCTAGTTTAATTCGTGTGCCCAGGGCCTGGGCAGGAGCCCCTTCCCATTCACCGCCTCTCTGCGCCCCTCTAGCCCAAGTCCTGGCACGGTGCCCCACAGAGGGGACGTCCCCAGCTCCAACCCATGACACGTGCCCCTTGTCATGCCAAAAACAGGCCGGCATGTGATAGGACTTGAGTCACACCCAGGGAGGACAAGGTGAGTCAGCAGGAGAGAATTGTTCCCGTTTCTCTGTACCTCTAGCCACGTGTTCTCGCTGGTGGCGGACAGTCTGCGCTACTTTTTCTCAGTAAACGTTAGATGGCTCCCCCGGAACCTTCCAAACTGCCTCTGGTGTGGCCGCTTCAGCAAACCTGGGCCTGTCTTCTTCAGATCTGTGGATGTCATTGCCCCTCCCTAAATCTGGTGTCCCCGTCCCCTGAAGGAGCAGCATGGGATGGCCGCGGGACTCTGCCAGGCTGCCTGACAGCCTGCCCCGGGCCATTAGCCATGATCCAAGGAGGTTTCCCAGAGCAAGCAGCAGGCCAGAGGCTGTGGGTGGAGGCAGCTGGGCCACAGGATGTTGGGACTGGGTGCTGTCCTTCATGGGCACAAGGTCTGGCCTTCCCTCCTCCTCCACTGGGTGGGAATTCCTCCACTTTGCAGTGCTGAGTCCAGGGAGTGCTGAACACACACACACACACACACACACACACACACACACACGTCTGTGCCACCCCAGGCTGGGCGGCCTGTGCCCCTGGCTTGCTACCACCTCAGGGCACAGCTGTGAGCAAGTGGCTGCCCAGAATGTGGGTGTTCACACATGTGGAAGGAGGTGGGGGGCGGAAAGCGTCTGCATTTGTGTGACCTCATGTGTGGCTGCTGAGTTAGTCCCTGTGAGTGTCCCTGAGGGTGGCCACAGGGCGGTGGGACACACAGGTGTGCAAACACGGAGGTGGATGTGCAGGCACGCATGGACCGGGGTCATCGTACTCAGCTGTGCACACCGAGTACATGCATGTGCATAGTCGTGCAAGCCCGCATGTACATGAGGACAGCAAAGAGGGCACCGGGGCATAGGTTTGGAGACGGTTGTGCCTGCTCCCAGTACTCCCTCGGGGTCCTGCAGGCCCAGAGGTGAAGGCTCTCAGCTCTGGGGGTACGTCCTCCTACCCCGGGGTGAGTCCTTACCCCACCCCCACAGGCCCTGGGAGAATTACGCAGGGGGGGGTGCACCCCTGCCAGCCTCTGGCCCCCACCTCGTTCTCTGGGTTCAGAGACCACACACCGGAGTTCTGGGATTCCCCCCTAGGACTGAGATCGCAGCATCAGCAGAGTGCCCCACACGGTGCCAGGCCATGCACCTGCTCCGTCCTGTGTCCTCACCTCTGACTAGGAGAGCCCCGGGCTCCCCATTGGGGTCTTCATTCAGAAGAGCTTTAACAAATCCTACCTTCAGAAGGCCTGCGTGTTCTCACGCCCACATGGGCCACTGGGGGAGACCTAGCCCAGAGCCATCTGGTGGCCATGGGACCAGGACAGTGAGGGCATCTTGCCCCCTCTCGGCTGACACATGTCCCCTTGCAGGCGCTCCATGAAGTACACGCTGTGCAGCGACAACCATGGTGTCAAGCCGCCCACCCCGGAGCAGTACCTGACGCCCCTGCAGCAGAAGGAGGTGTGCATCCGGCACCTGAAGGCACGGCTGAAGGACACCCAGGACCGGCTGCAGGACCGGTGAGCCGTTGGCCAGGGACAGCCCTGGAGACGCGCTGCCCTCGCCACCTGGAGAGGCCGCAGGGCCCCGGGGCACTTCTGGGAGGAAGGAGCGGCTGAGGGCTTTCCAGCACCCAGCCTGCCCTTTCCTTTCGAGCGAAGCCCTGTAGGAGCCCCTTTCTGGAGCCCCCAGCCATCCCCCTCCTCCCTTCGGCTGCTCTCCCGGCCGGCCTCCTGGTCCTCCCCACACCCATGGCGGTGCTCTCCCAGTCTGAGCCTGGCAGCCCCTTTGGGCCACTTGTTAGTCCCTGGCTCCTTTCCACCTGGGGAGTGGGGAGCGCAGGGCATATTCCTGGCTTACCCTCTCTGCCAGGGAGAAACAACCCCTCGGCCCCCCTTGGCTTCTGCTCAGGGAGTCACCAGGGGGCTCTGAACCCACCCGTTCAGGCCCCGGAGTCCTTTCTGGCTCATCTGCTTACAGAGGATAGGAGATCATGAGAACCTTTCTCGCGCTCCTACTCAGCCCAGGGGTCCCCGGGAGCCCCCATGGTGCCCTCTGAGCTCAATCTCCAGACCTGAGGGCCAATCCTGACCTCTCAGCTGCTACCGTCCTGGGCCACCGGCTTCGCCTTTACCATTGCAGCTTCAGCGCTGCTCTCTGACTCTCCGTCATCCTCGTCATCCCCTTTGGAAGGTGTCTGTTTGAACGTGCAGCTGACTCTGGGCCGCCCCGGGGTCTGGGGGTGGGGCGGGCCGACATAACCATGGCTTCTTCCCTCTTTTCTCTTTTTGTAAAACTGCAGCATTAGGGACATGTCATTCACGTCCGGTACAGGCCCCCTCTCTCAGGTGTACCATTCAGCGATGTTTAGTGTAGGCACAGAATCGTGCAACCCTCACCGGGATCCAGTCCCAGAACATTCTCATCACCCCACACCGTTCCTCGTTAGCAGTCATGGCCCAGGCCGCTGGTAGCCTCTCGTCCCTCTGTCTTTATGGATTCATCTGTTCTGGACGTCACATATAAACGAAAGCATTTCATATGCGTGAGCGCGTCTTCCATGACCAGATCTCTGCCTGATAGCTGATGCGGTTTGGATCTGCTGTGGTTTTGAATTACGGGAACTTACAGGTGGCATTCTGTGGCCTCCTTCTCTGTCGAGTTGGGATTTCTATTTTTATTTCCCATCGTCTTCTCGGTGGTGGCCTGGGTCTGCCTGGCCGCTTGCACTCCTGTGCTCAGGAAGCAGACAGCCCGTCTCCTGGCTTCCTTTCTAGGGCTGGCCCAGCGGCTCGGGCAGCCCATCTGTCCTGTGTGGTTTGGGCATGATGCCCTGGCGTGGACATGCCTCCACCTCAAACCCCTGGCCACTCTTTGCCTATTAGTCCTGCGGGGACCTGTGGCAGCCCTTTGCCGCACACGCTCCCCGTGTTCACTTTGATACCCGTCCCTGCAGTAACCCTGCCTTCTCTGTAAAGAAGTGTCTACGCCCTGTGCTTTTGTTTGCTGTGTCCCCACTTCCTGAGATGGCCTTGCCCCTGTCTTGCTTCCTTGGCAAACTCATCCTTCAAGGCTTAGTTCAAATGCAGCGTCCTAGACAGGGTGGGGAAGGCAGAGCTCCCTGGCTGGGGTCCCACCAGCTCCAAGGAGAGAGGGGAAGGGCCCCACCCCACTGAGCATGCCCCATCCCTTCCCCCAAGCTCGCTTTCCCTCCTGGCGCTCGGCGTTAGGGTAGTGGGTTTCCCTACAATGAACCCCAATAAGGGTCCCCCATGTCCGGTGGCCCATCTGCCATTGCCACTCTGAGCAGCTCTGGTTCACTGGCTGCCATCACAGGTCTGTGTCCTGCTGGGCGCTCCAGTCCGCCCCTTTCCAGATAATGCCATTGCTGACCTTGCCGGCCACTGCAGCGCCTCAGCCCAGACCCCTCGGCATAGCACAGCACACGCTTCCTGGTCTCATTTCCTGAACTGACTCTCCTATCTGACTCTGCTAAGCGCATGGTGCTTGATCGGGGGTGGTCCTTCTGCTGGGCTCATCACGCTCAGACTGATGGTCACAACCTGCGTGGATTGAGTTCCCATGAACATGGGGCATGTGGGCCACATTGGTGCAGGGGTGGATGTGTCCCCCCCACCCCCCAACCCTGCAGGATCTGCCGGCTCGGGAGTGGCTTTCCTCTACCCTCAGGGCCTTCACTGTGTCCTGCCCTGTCTCGTGCTGCCTTTTCCACCAGACTTGAACAGGAGGGGCTTCTACCTCGTGTCCTTCCCCTGCACCCCACATTCAGCTGTGACTTGGGGTGCCTTGTCTGGTTTGTCAGCTGCTGGCCTCTTCTCTCAGGAGTGGCCTCTGCCTTCTTGTCCATCTTTCTGGCCCATCCGCCTCACAGTAGATACAAAGCAGAGGTGACCAGTGTGGATAAAAGCCACCTGTGGTCACTGTTTTCTTCTGTCGCACCTACCACGTTTTATCCCCGGAACTGAGGGGAGGTGTGAGGCCGGCAGCCTGCCCCCACCCCACACACAGTGGCAGTAAGTTCTATCAGTAAAGCAGGGCAGCCTGCTGCATCTCCCCCGGGGGCGGGGGGGGGGGTCTGGTCAGGACCCCCCGCGGATAGTCTTCACTACTGGCTTTTGTAGGAGGCCATGTCCCTTCCCATGGAGGAGAAATTTTATGTTTAGTTCTGACTGTCTTATGTTAAGATTTAAAATGGGTGTGTTTGGTTTCTATAGCAGTAAGCATCTCTTTATACGCTGGGCGTCTCTCTTGTCTAATCTCTCCTGTAGGTAATGGATTTAAGTGGGGACAGTCGTCTGCATTTCGGCCTCCAGGGCTGGGGATGCAGAGGGGCCTGGATGTTCCTTCCTCCCCACCCTGACCCCGGGAAGTAGAGGGAGGAGGTCCCTTGGCCACCCCCCACCCCTCTGGAGTGAGAAGGAGGCACTGAGTCAGGCCTTTTGTGTCTAACTCTGGGCCGGGAGGCACAGGCCCTCTGTCCTTGGTGACAGCTCTTTCCTGCTTGTCCTTGGTGGCGGTGACAGGCCGGGCAGTGAGCATGTGTGTCTTCTCTGCTTCCAGGGACACGGAGATCGATGACCTGAAGACGCAGCTGTCGCGCATGCAGGAGGACTGGATCGAGGAGGAGTGCCACCGTGTGGAGGCGCAGCTGGCCCTAAAGGAGGCGCGCAAGGAGATCAAGCAGCTCAAGCAGGTCATCGACACCGTCAAGAACAACCTGATCGACAAGGACAAGGGGCTGCAGAAGTACTTCGTGGACATCAACATTCAGAACAAGAAGCTGGAGACACTGCTGCACAGCATGGAAGTGGCCCAGAACGGCACAGCCAAGGAAGACGGCGCTGGGGAGTCGGCCGGCGGGTCCCCCGCCCGCTCCCTCACCCGCAGCTCCACCTACACCAAGCTGAGTGACCCTGCTGTCTGCGGCGACCGACCCCCCGGCGACCACCCCGGGGCCTCTGCAGAGGACGGGGCTGACAGCGGTTTCGCGGGGACCGAGGACACGCTGAGCCGGACAGACGTGCTGGAGGCCAGCAGCCTGCTGTCATCGGGGGTGGACTGCGGCCCTGAGGAGGGCTCGTTGCACAGCAGCTTCGGCCTGGGCCCCCGCTTCCCTGCCAGCAACACCTACGAGAAGCTTCTGTGTGGCCTGGATGCCGGCGTGCAGGCCAGCTGCGTGCAGGAGCGCGCCGTCCAGACGGACTTCGTGCAGTACCAGCCGGACCTGGACACCATCCTGGAGAAAGTGACCCAGGCCCAGGTCTGCGGAGCAGTCCCTGAATCGGGGGACAGGGGCCCAGAGCCGGAGCCCCACCCCCCAGGGCCCAAAGACTGCAGCTCCGCCGTGGTGGTGACGGTGGGGGACGAGCTAGAGGCCCCGGAGCCCATCACCCGGGGGCCGAGCCCACACCGGCCCGGTGCCAACCCCAGCCCAGGCCCATCGGTGAGTGTGGCATGCCCCGTGGAAGAGGAGGAGGAGGCGGCCGCTGAGAAGGAACCCAAGAGCTACTGGAGCCGCCACTACATCGTGGATCTGCTGGCCGTGGTGGTACCAGCCGTGCCCACGGTGGCCTGGCTGTGCCGCTCCCAGCGGCGCCAGGGCCAGCCCATTTACAACATCAGCTCCCTGCTGCGGGGCTGCTGCACTGTGGCCTTGCACTCCATCCGCAGGATCAGCTGCCGCTCGCTGGGCCAGCAGGGTCCAAGCCAGGCGGCCGGCAGCTCCCAGCTGTGAGCATGTGCGGCCCCGGCCAGCGGCTCTGTCGGCCTGACCAATGATCGTAGGGGTGCCGCTCTCCTCCTGCTCATGCCCCGGGGGCCTCAGCTGCTTGATTTAGTTTCGGGTAGGGGATGTGAACAGTGTCAGGGGCTGGGAGTCGGGGTTGGGGGAAGGCACCCCAAACTGTGATAGGAGACAAGGGAAGAAAGACCAAAGGCAGAGAGGCACACGGAAGGGACACATTGCAGAGAGAGGAGGTGGGGAGGTTCCCCAACCCAGCCCTGTCCACCTGGACCTTCACACAGGGCTGCCCGCCCCTGCCCAGAAGTCTCCGGGGTGTCGATGTGGGGAGGCTGGGCCTGAGGTGCCCAGGGGAGCCTCCCCACCCCCACCCCGGGTCCCATCCCATTGCTGCCCATCCAAGCCTCCTCCCCAGCCACCCCCTGCCCTCAGTCCAGCCTTCTGGGCCAGTATTACCTCCTTGCACGGAGGCAGCTGCCGCCCAGAGTACACACTACTGGCCCAGGACTCTCAGCAGGGTCTGCAACCCCTGGGCCCCAGCTGCAGTTCTAGCATCTTCCAACTGCTCCTCACTTTGGGATTCGGAAGTGTAGTCAGGCCACAGGCATGGGCCGGTGGAAAGACGGTGATGGGCAAGAGGCGGCAGAGTGCAGTGTGGCTTCTGTGTCTGTCTGTCCGAGACCTTCCCCAGGCTCTGTTTCCCTCTCCGCGCTTCTGGCTGTGTCAGATCGTTCTTCCTGTGAGAGCTGAGCCAGACAGGCTAGTGCTGGGGCTGGAGCCTCTGCCGGCCAGAGAGGAGGAGGCAGGGGCTGGCAGTTCAGGGGCGCTCCTCCAGCCTTCTGAGACAAGGTCCGGCAGTCTGGCAGGAGGGCTGGACTCGGCAATCCTCCGCTGGTTTGAGAAGCTAGAGGCCATGACGGCCCCTGAAGCTCAGCCCGAGTTTCACTGGGGGCCTCGGGCCCAGCTTCTACTTTGCACTATGTTCACTTTGGGGCTTGGCTCTCATGCGCCCCAGCATCTCCACTGAGGGGCTGCTTGCATTCTAGTAGGGCTCCTAAACTTAGACCTAGCTGCCTCTGGAGGAAAGCCAGCACGATGGACGGCAAGATGGGATACGGAAGCCATGATGTTTGTCCAGGCCAAAGCAGGGCACCCGGGTCATCTCCCAGGCAAGGACGGGGCCTCCCTGCTCACAGCCCTGAGGCCACTTGGCCTGGGAAGCTTCACTGTCCCCCCTCCTTCCCTGGGACCCGACATTGGGTCCCCCAGCAAAGCTGCTGACCTTTTACCACCACTATTATTTGACAAAGTAAACCCGCTCCTTCTCCCCAGTGGGGCTTATACCCGTCTGGTGGCCCCTTCCACTCTTCAGAGATTAGGCCCCACGTGGGGGGCAGGTGGCCCTGGCGGGACCCTGTATCTTACTCATTCCTCTGGCTCTGGGGCCACTCTGGTTCTCTGCCAAGGTTGCTCACCGGCCCCCGCTGCTCCCACAGCTACCGCCTGAGTTGGGGGCTCCGCCTTCTCTGCACCCTCCAATCAAAGGGGGGGCCCTGCATGCACTGGGAGTGGGCAGCCAGCTCAGCCATGGGGCCGGCAGCCCCCTCTGCCACACGCTTTGTGCCTCTAAAGCCTCCTTCCCCTGGCTGGGGCCTCAGACCACCCGTCCTTTGCAGAGCACCACCACCCCAGCAGAAGCGCACCTGAAGTCCTGGGGCCTGGCTGGGGCTGCCCCACAGACGCTGGGGTTGTGCCATGGAGGGGCCGTGGACACACCCAATCCAAAGCCAAGCCGGGCCTGGCCGTGGACCCCGCCTCCCGTGCTGTGCACTCACGGAGCTGCGTAGCGTCTCCTTAGAAATAGTCCAAGCTTTGCCAAGAAAATAAATGTCTGACTATATTTGACAACGTGAAATCTATATATTTTTCACACTGGAATTCAGTCAAGCCACATAGCCCCTCTGCTTCTGTCTGTGTCTTGCTCTCTGTGGCCTTCTTGTCGTGTCTCGTGTTTCAGTGGTCGGGGCCGTAGTCCGCTGGGTCCCACCGGAGGTCCCAGTGAAGGGCCGCGCCCGAGGTGAGTGGGGCCGCTGCTCAGGGTTGCGGAGCCCTCACCCACAACGTCAAGGCTCTTCTCTCTTGGGACCCTCAATGGGCATTTCTTTCTCGTGTCAGTGGAGGCGGTGGCTCTGAACCCGGCCCCGGGATGGACCCCGAGAGCACGCCGGCTGGCGGCCCTCGTCCAGCCCTCCATGTGCCCACGCGTGTGCTCAGTGTCCGCATCTATGCAAAGGGGGCAGCGTGGCGCCCGAGGCTCAGAGTGAGCGGGGAAGCACAGCGGCCTGCTGGCTCGGGCTCCCGGCCCCAGTACCGCAGGGCACTGAGTGTGGGGCAGGAGGGCAAGGCCAAGGCCGGGGGACTGCCCCCCTCCAGTGCTCCTCCTCCAAAGCTCCCCTTTTTCCTTCTTGCTTCATATCTCCTCCTGCTGGGCTCTGGCCTTGCCTCCTGCCCTCGGCTCCTGGAGCAGAAATCGTCGGGGGGCAGGGGGCCTCCCTCCACCGTCTGGCCTCGGCTGGAGCTGATTCCCTCCCACAGGACATTTCCCCAGGAAGCACCTGCTGAACTGCTGGTCCCTTGGAGCCCGGGGGGCCGGAAGTGGCTTCTGCTCAGTCGTAGGGCCTGGGGCTGGGCCTTCCTGCTGCTCCTCTGGCTCTGGGCTCAAGCAGGAATCAAAGCATGGGCTGGGACTCTGCACACAGAGCTGGCCTCCTGCGGAGTTTATTCTGAGCATCTCCCAAGGGGAGAACTTAGCTTTTCACTGACCAGGCTTCCCAGGCACTGTTAGCAACGGGGCGTCTGACAGTGCCTGGGGAGGGGCAGCCCCGCTGATGTTCTGGGGCCTACCGACGGCCTGAGCCCGGGGAACTCCTGACCCCCTTCTCTGACCCAGGGGGACAGTACCAACAAGTCACAGCACACTCTCCCATTCAGCCATCCCCTTGATGGAGAAGTCAGGGGGTATGGGAAAGGGGGAGGTGGCGAGGGTCTTCATTTTGTCTCCTTTGTCCTGTTCAGACAGAGTTGTACCCGCAGCAGACAGCTCTGAATTAAAGCATGAAAACACAGCAAGCCCCTTGGCCTGTTTTCTTTACACTGTGCTTCCCTGCCCGCACCCCCGAGGAGGGATACAAGGGGCTCAAACCATCTCTGCCAAGCTGGGAGGCACAGTGGACACACAGGGAAGGGCTGAGGGGAAAGAGCTCCCTTCTGAGGTGGAGGGAACAAGAGAGAGACCGCCGTGTGCCTATCGCAGCATGGGACAGTCACTCCCATCCTGGGTCCCACAAAGGATCTAGGATCTAGAAGGGCCTCCCCTGCCACCCCCCCCCGCCGCGGCAAGGGTCAGCCCTGCTGAGCCTTCCAGTGCACCGCAGGCCCTCCGGCACCCCTGAAGTGGGCTTCCTATACGCTCCACAGATGTGGAAGCAGGCCGAGCAGGGGTGCTCTGAGGCCAGTGTCCCTCCTCCGGAGTCCCACACGGCTCCCCCTCTCCAGTCACTGCCACCGCAGGACTGGCCAAATCTCTGCTCTCAGAGACCACGTGTCACCTCTGCTTAGAAGAAAACCAGGCCTGGCATGTCATGGGACCAAGGATTCTGGAATTTTCAATTACTTTTGAAGAGGTCTTGTATTTAAAATCCCATCTATTCAAAAGCAGTGGTACTATGTACAGTTTGTGACACACAGCAAGCCAAGAGAAAAAAAAAATTAACAAAGAATGAAGTTGTGTTCTCTCAAAATGTGAAACTGTTTTGCTGGTAGAGGCAGCAAAAATCTTACAAGGGACCCAGTGGCAACTTTAAGAAGTGTTTGGCCAGCCTGCCTACGTGCCCCGCATTTCAACCGGCACAGGGAGTCACTGCCTATGGGACCCTGTGCAGCTCCCAGCCGGAGGCCCTGAGGGGGCCTGTGCCTCAGCGGCTGCCCACCCGGAAGGTGCCCCCTCAGGACAGCCCTGGCCTGGCAGCCGGCCTCCCCCAGCATCTAGGACTGGCCCTTTCCTGCAGGAGGGTGGGAGGCTAGGACGGCTGAGCTTCTCTCTCCTGGCTTCAGACGGCTGGAATCGAGTGGTCCATGGTGTGGTGCAGCAGGGTGGGGGACAACCTAGATACAGCAACAGGGACAGTCGCCAAAACTGGCAGGAGGTGCCCCTCCTCCCAGCCAGCCCGGGCATCCCCCACAGGGCCTTCATTTCCATTTCTAAGACTCTCAGGGCTCACACTGGGAGCCATCAGCCTCGGGGAAGGGAGGACGCTGAGCCCAGTGTGCGCCCTCCTGGCTCTGTTGGGGGGAGGTGGGGAGGTGAGGGGGAAGCAGGAGGGGGACAGCCTTACTTTTTGACCATGTGCTCGTAGATCACGGTGGGGATGACGGTCAAGGTGACAACATTCCCGGCCATGGCCAGAATCTCTGTGACCTCTTTGTCCTGGGGAGGAGGTGAGTGAGCAGTCACCCTGCGGCCAGGGGTGACTCTGAGGCCCCTCGGCGGGGGGGGGGGGGGGGGGGCAGGAGGGGGGTCAGCAAGGCCCTGGCTAAAGGACCCTGCTGCCATCAGGTGGGGGTCCCAGGCAAACACCAAAGGAGAAGACTTGTTTGAGCAAGAATGTAAGGCCCCTGACCAGGTCAGGTCTCTGCAGTAAAGATGAGCACGCTCCCCACCCACAAAGGCCAGTGTGTGGGAGTCAGTCACACGCAGGCTCTGGCCCCAAAGCACAAGAAAAGTTACCCTGCTGTGGGGGCCGTCAGGTGCACGACCCAGCCACTGGTCTAAAATCTTCTTACTATGGGGAATGTGAGCCAGTATCATCGGGGAGGGAGGAGGGAGGAGGGAGGTATCTGCGCAGCCAGCAGCCCCCTCCCCAGGCACCCTGTCCTGGCAGTGCTCACCCTCACCCCCACCCCACTGCTCCTCTGACCCCACCGCTCCTCTGGCTGCCAGGCAATAGCTTGTATTTACTGAGCATTTCCCATGGGCTTGGCCCTGTGCTCAGAGCTCTACCTCCCTCATCTTAGAGAACTCTCACAGCAACTGGAGGAGGAGGGACCTCAGGCTTGGAGAGGGACAGCAGCGCACCCGCAGGCACGAACCTTCCCTCCATGCAGCCAGCTCTCAGCCCCTGCAGCTCCCACTGGCCTACCTTCAGCCCAACGACGTTCTGCCCGTTCACCTCACACAGGGCGTGGTTGGTGAGGAGCCCGTTGTGGGCCGCCGAACTCCCTTTGACCACAGAGACCACCTTTCCCTTCTTGAGGACAAAGCCAATGTGGCCCATGCTGTCCTTGTGCATGGTGACAGTCCGCTGGAAGGGCCTGGTGGGAAGAGACAGTGAGCTGGGCCAGGGACGTGGCTGGAGGCAGAGAGGGAGGCTGGGGGCCTGGCTACCCACCTGTCCCGAACGACCATGATGATCTTCTCGGCCGACGCCCTCTTCAGCACCCGGTGGGCTCTGTCCGTGCTCCACCCGGCACAGTCACGCCCGTCAACCTGCAGGATCTGATCCCCGAAGCGTAGCCCCACGAGAGACGCAGGGCTGTGGGCCTTCACCAGCAGCACAAAGAGCCCCTGGAGGAGGAAGGACCCTGACGTCAGCTGTGCAGCCCACTCTGAGCCCAGGCCCCTCCTGCCGCTGTTCTCCTGATGGTCTAGGAGCTACAGCTCTGTGCAGGCAGGACAGGGGTTACCCCTTTTGCCTGGGGAGGAAATGTTCCAGGCCACATAGCCAGGGAGCAGTTGAGTCAGGCTTTCAACTCTAGCTGGAGGCTACACCCCTAGTCCCTGGACTGCCTAGCTTCTTACGATGGCATTAGCACCCCTGGCTTCCCCTGTCTACAGACAGCTGCCTGGAACCCAGAATCTTCTGATGGAGGGGAGAGGGGAAGGAGCAGTAGGAACCCAGAAGGGAGTAGGTGGAGGGTCCCTGCTGCTAGAACCCAGCACCAGCCCTGAGGCATTGGGGGATGGAGGTTGAGAGGAGGAACCTGAGCCTGAGGTTTGGTAGGCCTCGGCTCCCCTGCCTGCTCTGCACCTTCCTTACTGTGGACTAGGCCCACTTTGCCCCCTCCCAGACTGGTGGCGGATGCATGGGGGGGATGCCCCCACCTCTCCTGCCCAACCCCCCAGCCCTACCTGGTCAATGGCCTTCAGCCGCAGCCCTGTCTTGCCATGCTCGTCCTTGCACAGGTGGATCTCACGTACCCCAGGCTTGATCTCCGCACGCCGTGTGCCAAGGCTGTTCCCAGACAGTGGTGCCACCAGCTGGCCCGGTGAGGGGCCAGAGCTCACTGTCTGCAGACACCAGGGTGGGGTTAGCTGGCCTCTGGGGCCTCATCAGGATGGAGAAAGAAGAATGTAGTCCCTGGGCCCTATCCCATCCCCAAACAATACTCTTCTCTGCAGTGGTTGCTAGGGGACATGACTCCATGAAGCCACTAGGGGGCATCAAAGTCTGTGCTGCCCCTGAAAAACGGCCAGGAAAATGAGGACAGAGAGAGGATGGGTATACGGAAAAGGGACCCTCATTTTGCAAGGCACATTGGGATCAGGAGAAGACCATTTTAAAATCCAACTAAAAATACAACAAAATTTTTCAGCAAATGGGGAGCAATCAGGGGGAAAAAGGACTTGATTTTTGCCTTGAAAAAAAAAAAATGTTAGCAAGAAGTATAAAAATGAATGCCTTCCCCCCGCCTAAAGCCCAGAACAAGTCAGGATGTCACTCTCACCACTACTATTAAATACGGTACTGGAATAACTAGCCAGAGCAATATGGCACGAAAAGGAAATAAAAGGCATATGGATTGGAAAAGAAATATTTGAAGATGATGTGATAATCTAACAGGAAATTCCGACGAATCTATAAACTCCTAAAACTATTAAGTGAGTTCAGCAAGGTCACAGGATACAAGATCAATACACAAAAACCAACTGTACTTTTTATACACTAACAGCATGCACATGGAAACTGAAATTAAAAGTACACTACCAACTATAATCACTCAAAAATAAAAAATAAGAGTAGGTCTAAAAAACCATATGTAGGAATTGTATACTGAAAACAAAAACCAAAAAATGACTGATAAAAGATATCAAAGAAGATCTAAATAAATGGAAAGGTATTTTCTATTCATGGATTAGAAAAACATAGTGAAGCCCTCAACTGTCCTCAAACTGATATGAAGATTAAATGTAGGGGAGACTGGGTGGTTCAGTAGGTTAAGCCTCTACCTTTGGCTTAGGTCATGATCTCAGGGTCCTGGGATCGAGCCCCACATCGGGCTCCCTGCTCAGGAGGGAGCCTGCTTTCCCCTCTCTCTCTGTCTGCCTCTCTGCCGCTTGTGATCTCTGTCTGTCAAATAAATAAATAAAATATTTTTAAAAAATAAAAAATAAAATAAAAGATTAAATGCAATTTCTATCAAAATCTTCACAAGATGTTTTGTAGATGTAGGCAAGGTTACTGTAAACTTTATATGAAAAGACAAAGAAACTAGACTAACTAAAGCTATTTTTTGACAAAAAGAATAAAGCAGGAGGAATCACTCCACCAAATTTAAAGACTTATTATTTAGCTACAGTTTGGTAACAGTGGGGAGACAGACACATGGATCAATGGAATAGGACAAAGACTCCAAAAGTAGCCTCACAAAAGTAGGGCCAACTGCTTTTTAATAGAAGTACCAGAGTAGTTCGATGGAAAAGAAATAGTCTTTTTGACTAAGGGCATGGGAGCAGTTGAACATCCACAGATAAAAATATGAAACTTGACCTAAGCTTCACCCTATGCAAAAATTAACTTAAACTTCATCACAAATTTTTTTTTCAAATTTTATTTATTTACTTGACAGAGCAAGAGAGAGAGAGAGCAAAAGCAGGGGGAGCGGCAGGCAGAAGGAGAAGCAGGTACCCTGCTGAGCAGGGAGCCCAATGCGGGACTCAATCCCAGAACCCTGGGATCACGACCTGAGCCAAAGGCAGACGCTTAACTGAGCCACCCAGGCACCCCTCATCATAAATGTAAATGTAAAACCTGGGGTGCCTGCATGGCTCAGTCAGTTAAACATGTGACTCTGTTTTGACTCAGGTCATGATCTCAGGGTCCTGGAATCAAGACCTGCAACGGGGTTGGCTGGAGATTCTCTCCCTCTCCCTCTGTTCTCCCTCTCCTTGCTCTGTCTCTCTCTCTCTAAAATAAATAAAATCTTTCAAAAAACGTAAAACATAGAACTATAATGGTTTTAGATGAAAATAAGAGAGAAAATCTTCAGGATCTGAGGCTTGGTGTAAACGTCTTTAGACAGGCCAGCAAAGCTCCATCCACAAAAGAAAAAGATCCATGAATTGAACCTCATCACAACTAAAAATTTTGCTCATACTTGGGATAAAATTTTTACAAGCAACTTATCTAAGGACTCTAGAGTAAAGAACTCTAAAAACTTGACTTAAGGGGCTCTGGGTGGCTTAGTCATTAAGCATCTGCCTTCAGCTCAGGTCATGATCCCAGGGTCCTGGAATCGAGTCCCACATCAGGCTCCCTGCTCAGCGGGAAGCCTGCTTCTCCTTCTCCAGCTCCCCCTGCTTGTGTTCCCTCTCTCTGTCATAAATAAATAAAATCTTAAAAAAAACAAACTTTTTTTCCCAAAAAACTATCCATTGAGAAAATGAACAAAACGTATGAAGAGCATTTTACTGAGGAGAATTTACAGCTGGCAAACAGCACATGACAGGACGCTGAGCATCACCAGCCACTGGGGAAATGCAGACTCAGCCCGTGAAGAGACATCACTCCGCACCCATCACAATGGCAAACGTTAAAGAGAAGCTGGCAAGGATGGGGAGGAACTGGAGCTGCAGGTGTTGCGGCAGGAAAATAACATGGTAGAGCCACTCTTAAAAGAGTTTGCCAGTATCTTTTAAAAATTTAAAACATGCATTTATCTTACAACCTAGCAACTGCACTCCTGGACATTTATCCCGGAGAAATGAAAACTTACGTCGGTACAAAAAAACTATACACAAAGACCCATAATAACTTAGTTTGTAATGGCCCCAAACTGGAAACAACTAAAATGACCCTCAATGGGTTAAACAAACCTCTGTACATCCATACCACGGAATATTAATAACACAATGGGATGAGCTAGGGGAGGGGGTGGGAGGTGGGGAGAACAGGTGAGGGGGACTAAGCACACATGTGCCTCGATGAGCTCCGGGTGATGTATGCATGCGTGGACCACTGCATTGTATTGAACTAACATTACACTGTAGTTAACTATACTGCAATTAAAATAAAATGAAACAAAAATAAACAAATAACAAATAAATATAGAAAATGGGGAGCTACTAATATAGTGAACAATCTGGAAAAAATTCAAGGGCATTATGCTGAGCGAAGAAAGCCCATCTGAAAACACTATATGATCCCATGTAGGTAACATTCGGGAACACAACAGCGGAGGCAGAAGACAGGCTAGTGGTGGCCAGGGGGTTAGGGAAGGTCAGGGGGAGAGGGTGCACGTGATCACGAGGGACCAGCCAGAGGGAGACCTCTGTGGTGACGAAATTATCCGTGCCTTGGTTGCACTGGTACCTACGTGGGTCTATCTTTGCAAAGACAAAGTGACACAGAACTACAGACACTCACTGGACCAACGCAAAATACCCGCTTTCCTTATCCTACAGTTACGCCGCCACTTCCCCCATAAGCCCTGGGAAAGCTGGGTGAGGATACAGTCTTCTGTACTCTTCTCTGTACTATCTTTGCGACTTCCCATGAATCTATGATTATTTAAAAATAAAAAGTTAAGCATAACATTTTTAATTATAAAAATGAATTCATCTGTCATGTTTTTATCAGTATTTAGGTGAAAGGCACTCATGTCCTCATTATTGGAACAAGGGATTCAGTCAAAGGCTTCTGAGTGAGGTATATAACACATGACTTTCTTGGCTTCTTGTCTGTATTTCACAGCATGACTATGGGGGGGGGGTCACTGTGGAGCAGCACCCCAGGGCCCCACACGTCCCTATCCTGGTTGACTTTCTCCTGTGAGCCCCTCATTGGCCCATGGCTGAGGCAGTTCTCATCCTCACCCGCCTCACTTCATGAGACCCTGCAGCTGGGTTCTGCCACCGATGTTCACCCGCGTGGGGACAGGATGGCCAACCAGCCCACTGACCCACGGCCCAAGGAGATGCTGGAGGCAGGGGGTTTGAGTGGGGATGGGAGCTCTAAACGAACATCTTTTCAGGAGGGAACATTTCTTTTGCTCCCCTGAACTCTGGAGAGCCGGAGTCAAGCAAGCACGGTTGTTTCACCCGGGGATCAGAGCTGGGTGGCAAGTTGCTCCCTGCCTCGGCTCTGCCGTCCATGCAACAGTTGTCAAGGCATGGGCAGCTCCTTCGTTAGAAGCCTCCAGGCTTAGGTCGGGTTTAACGCTTTCCCTTCGCTGCCTGAAGCCAGAGGCCAAAGAGCAGGCAGGGTCCTCCGTGGCCCAAGTCTGCAGGAAACCCCAGCCCTTTTAATGATGGCTCAAAATGAAAAGCGCCGTCAAGAAACAGCCCAGACATGCTGGGGAAGAGGAGAGTCCGGTCTGTTCATATGTCAACACCAAGAGGGAGGGGGAGTTGGCACATGCTATGCCCACATTAGGCAAGAGAAAAATACCTACGGTAGCACCTTCTGGAATCTGAAGCAGGTTCTGCTGGACTTCTTGGCTGGAGAGGGAAAGACCCATGTAATTTTCCAATTCTGCCAGGCTTGGGTACAAAACTGACAGGAAGGGAATGGAAGGGAGAGGAAAGGTGTTATTCAGGGGTGTGACCTTGGCCACACCTGCCTGGCTCCCATGTGCTCACTCATCTGTATCAGGAAACAGGGCCTGGGGGTGTTGTTTACTCCTGAGAATGCAAGGGAACCCTCGCTGGTGATGGGGGTTCTCTCTTCAGAAGGGCTGAGGGGCAGGGGTCTCCCCAGGAGCAGCCTGGGACACAGAATCCCTCCTGTGCCACTTTGGTGTTCAACGCCACAGACTTTATTTGGCACCAGGCAGACACCTGAGACCAAGCCCAGGGCCGGTGCTGGGGTCATGAGGCCCTGGCTCCTAGGAAATCCAGGGGCTGGGGGGCTGCAGGGGCTGTAGGAGGCCGGTGTCTGCCCCAGGGCGGCTCCCAGGAAACTGCATGGCAAGGAGGGAAAGAGTGGGTCTGAGGTCAAGTTAGCTGCCACAGGACCTGAATCCAGACTGCCACCAGCAACTCGAGGGACCATCACAAACATGTTGGTTTCCTCACTTGGGCTCAGAAGGTCGCTCCAGATCAGCGGACTTAGTGCTCTTACTAAGCCAGTTTTCTCAGGGTGCCTCTCAAAGGGTTCTGCTAAGGGTAAAATGTTCGGGAAGCCCACAGCACAGGGGCAGGCAAGAGACAGTGCTTGGAAGTGGCCACAAGAGGTCACTATCTGTCAGGAGCACCCCACCCCCGCTGGCTCACTCACCTGAAGACTGGGAGACTGGCAGGGCAGGCATCCTGGATGCAGGTCTGGCCTGGGCCTGGGGAGTGGTGGGGAGCGCTGGTCAGCTGTGCCCAGGAGCCCCAGAACCCTTGGAGCCTGGGGCTCCCTGAGGCTGGGAGTCAGGGCCTTAGTTATGCTGGCGGGCCTAAGGTGGGGTATCCATGAACACTGGAGGTGTAAATGTGGTTTCTGTACATGTCCCCGTTTCTGGGGAAGGTTCTCCCCGTAGCCTACGACCCACCAAATGTCATGACCCACTTACTACCTGAGGCAGCCAGAACACTGAGGCCTACCTCCCAGTGAAATTCTCGGTCAAAAAGTCCCAAATTCTCAAAATCCACTGGAACCACAGGTGGATGGAAGGAAGGAGGAGCTTCTGGGGATGAGCAGGCCAAAGGCCATGCCCATGGGACTTACTCTGGAAGCCTGTCTACAGTGGAGTCTACCTGCACTGGGATGGAGGAAGTGCTAGGACGCGCGAGAGGCCCGTCTGCAGCTGTTTGGGCTTCACCATTCCTGCTCTAACTCCACTGCCTTAGCCTCTGGACGTCTGTCCACCAGCAGGTCCTGCAGGGGTGACCTGCATGCCCAGGGACCCAGCACCCAGCACCTTCCAAGACAAGCCTCCCTTACTTACCCTGGGGCAACCCAAAGGCCCCACGAGGGGACCTAGGCTCACACACGCCTAGTGGCTTACCTGAATAGCTTGGTCCATCTTCAGGTCCTCCAGAGATGGGTATAGGGTGGACATGGCGCCTCCTTGGAACACCTACAGGGCACAGAGGGTGAGGAGGGGTGAGGGGTGAGAGGAAGTGTGGATGTCTCCCTCCCCCCACCATGTGTGCCACTCAGGACTCTTGGGATGAGAAAGAAATCAGGAAGGTATCCTTTGCATTTTGGAGATGGGGGAGTGGAGTTTGAACCCAAGTCTGATTTATTCCCAAGCCCATCATCTCCACCCTTGCAAAATTCCATCCCATCTGTTCAGCTGACTCTGGGCTTTAGACCATGGACCCAGGGGACCACCCAGGACACGCTGGCCGGGAAGAGCAGAGCTAGGGATCAAGTCCTTCCTTGCCATGTTTCAAAGGCCAGATGGAGGGATGCCTGGGTGGCTCAGCTGATTAAGTGTCTGCCTTTGGCTCAGATCATGATCCCAGGGTCCTGGGACTGAGTCCCTCGTCAGGCTCCCTGCTTAGCCATGGGGGGTGGGGGGAGGGGTGCTGCTTCTCCCTCTGCCTGCTGCTCCCCGTGCTTGTGCTCTCTCTCTCTCTCAAATAAGTAAAATCTTAAAATTTTTTTTCAAAGTTCAAACAGGCTTAAAAGTTCTGGTCACTCAAGACCCAAATCCAGCAGGTTCATAGTGAGCATCTGCTGCATACCCGGCCTTTGTTAGGGGTGTGTCCAGCATCATCCCCCAACTACACAGAAGTCAGTCCGGTGTTAAGTAGGTGGGGTCTTCATTACAACAGAGAAGCAGCAGGACATTTAGAACCCCTCCCCCAGCTCCCACACCCCTGTTCACTTCTGGGTATTTGAGCTCCTACTGTATACCGCCCATTTCCAGCCTTGATCTTAACCTAGGCTTCCACTCTTCTTGCAAAGCTCTGGTCTTGTTAAATTCCTTGTCTTAGGTTTTGCATGTAGTCCACTAATTTGAAAGTATGAAGTATTCTGCAAGGTCAAATAAAACCTGTCTGCATCTGGCCTGTGAGCCACCAGTTCCAATCTCTGGAGGAATCAGAAGTCTGTGCGGGCCACCTTAGGGAAAGTGAGCTAGACACTGAGAGCAGAGGGGAGCCCCTGGGGGCTCTAAGGATGGGTAAGACATCGCAGGCTCCCGCAGAAGGGCTTATTGGCTGCCATCTGGAGAACAAGAGAGGAGGCAAGACCCTTTGGAGGATGTTGTAGTGCCTGGGGAGGGGTGGGAAGATGATGGAAGTCTGCACACAGCGTGGGGGCTAGGGGTGGGATGTGGGTGAGGAAGAACTTGATAGCAAGTTAGAAGGAATGGTGTACATGGGTAGAGGGGTGGTATCAAGGCAGCAGGTGCAGAGGAAAGAGAAGGAACAGTGATGGATAAGGATGACCTTAGCCCCTGTGGGCCACTCAGGGGGGATACCCAGAGGATCTGTACCGGGGCAGGGCTGGAGTCCCATCACCCCTAGTGCAGTCCAGTCAGTTCCCTGTGACCACCCTAGGGACCCCTTTATTGTGTACACCTGCTCTGATGTCCTTCCACCTTCCCAGGATGGAAACAAGGACCAGAGTTCCCAATGTATTTCACTCACCTCTCAGTCTTGTTTTTTGTTTTCTCAAATTTGAATTAGTGCCAGTATTTTAAAGCCTGGGAATAAAAAAAATTCTTCACTTCTAACTTGTATTGAAAAAAAGTCAAAATATTTGGCACTGCAAGAGCAGGAATCATGCACAGCGACACCCAGTCCAGGCTGAGCTGCAGCCAGTCTCTTCGATGGGGCTGCCTGTGCTTTCCTGGTTCCAAAGTACCTGGCCAGAAACTTACATCACCTGCTTGGCTCCCGGAAGCAGGCAGCTCCAGATCCTTGCCCTAGTCTGGTCTTTGCGGAAAAATTATCACTTCAAGGGGCACCTGGGTGGCTCAGTGGGTTAAAGCCTCTGCCTTCAGCTCAGGTCATGATCTCAGGGTCCTGGGATCGAGCCCTGCGTCGGGCTCTCTGCTCAGCGGGAAGTCTGCTTCCCTCTCTCTCTGCCTGCCTCTCTGCCTACTTGTGGTCTCTGTCTGTCAAATAAATTTAAAAAAAAATCTTAAAAAAAAAAAATTATCACCTCAAGAGGGCAGAGGTTGTCCCAGGGGGAGAGGGAGACTGGCTCTGACTTCCTTTAGACCAGCAGGGAGAGTAGACCTCTTTCTTTGCCTGTGACTTTCCCCACTGTGCACACATTCTGGGAGATTTTTCTCTTGGGACAGTCCTCAGCAGGTACCACCCGCCAAAAATAAGCCTTGTTACGAGGATGATGCTTGAGGAGTATATGTGAAAATAAGAGGTCAGCTCTGCCCCGCTTTTTCTACCACTGAAGCAGCACAGCAGTTGTATTTTTTTTAAGATTTTATTTTTATTTATTTGACAGAGAGAGATCACAAGTAGGCAGAGAGGCAAGCAGAGAGAGAGGAGGAAGCAGGCTCCCTGCCGAGCAGAGAGTCTGAAGCAGGACTCGATCCCAGAACTGAGATCATGACCTGAGCTGAAGGCAGAGGCTTAACCCACTGAGCTACCCAGGCGCCCCAGCAGTTGTATTTTTAGTGGCTGCCCTCTGGGAGAGCAAAACCAGAGATCCACTTCCTAGAAATCACTCCCAGGCCAGGACCACACAACACTTTCTCTGTATCTGGAAGCTTCACCACCTTCACCTTCTATGAGTCTCCACTCAGTTTCGGGCTCTGGGTAGCATTAGGAAGCAGGCATTCCCCTGCCTTTTAACATTTATGATTTAGTGGGGAATGGCTCCCAGTTAACAAATATGCTTAGTGCCTCGTTCAATCATCCGTCTGTGCACTCACGTCATTTGAGTATCTACTGTGCACCAAGAACTAGTCACCTGGGCCATCTGCTTCTGGCACACCACCCCTCCCTGTGGGGCACTCTTTGAAGGTTTAGCTCAAATGCTATTTCTTGGGTTGCCTTTTTCAGGCTGTGGGACGCCCCCCTGCTAGTTGGTTGGGTGTTCTCGTGTTCCTAACCCTGACTTGTGCTCTCTACTGTCTAGCTATTTATCATATCACATTATTGACATCTGGGTATTTTGTTATACCGGATCCCTCACCTCACAAGGGCAGGCAGGGCTGTGTCCCGTTCACCATACTCTACGCCTCCCCACAATGGCAAGCATGCATGGTGGCAAAGAAAAAAAAAAAAAAGTTATTTGAGTAAAACAGTAGTTTTCCAAGAACAGACTAGAAATTTCTGTGGGCATTTTTGGGTGTCATGAGACTGAGGGGACATCAGTAACATTTAGGAAAGAGCGAACAGAGATCTGGACTTCCTGGAACGTGCAGAGCGGTCACTGCAACAAACTGTCCTCCCAAACCTTTATGTGGCATAAAGCCTGCTTGTACCGTTTTATATACAACTACAGTACTTCCTGGTTTTAATATGCAGTATGTTATCCAGACATGCAAATACCAGGTTAACCAAGGGAGGTTATGCTTTGTTTTGTTTGCCATTTTGGGAAATCAGTGTCAACACTTCTCACCAGAACACGCCCACGTGTGCCTGGCTGTCATACTAATTCCACACCTGTACACAAACACTTAGCCTTTGACTGGAGGCGTCAAATACAAACTGGGGCAGAGTTCAGTTGAATACTGTCTTCTCTTAAATCCAAACGTACTCGTTTTGAGTTAGGTACAAGCACGGTCTGGTGTAATCCTGTTTCGGCTTTTGCAAAGTGAAGAGCGTGTTCTCCTACTATAAATTACTTTCATTGCTAGTGTTTCGCGTTAATAATAACGACCCAGCATCAGGCTGGTTCACCCACTGGGAACCACATTCGGGACAAACTCGCTTTCTCCCTCAGCCTCAACCTTCTCGCTTTGCGCAAGCAGGCACAAAGTCCATGCATGAGGAGCTGAGGAAAGCCCCACGAGTCGCTACAGCCTGTTCTTCACCCCAGGCCTCAGTTTCCAAATCCGTCGCACCGCTCAAACTCTCCAAACTTCTCCCATTCTGACGCACCCTTAGCTCCTAACCCGGCAGGAAGCGACGTCTTCCAGTTGCTCGGGACTACGACGCCTGCGCAGAGTTTCCACTAGGGCGCTAGGGCGCGCTGCGGCATCTAGAACGCATGCGTCCCACCCACCCAGGCCTGCGCGCCGCTAGCGGTGGCTCCCAGGTTGCCCTGCGGCAGCATGATGAAAAATGGCGACTTCTTCGCCGACTGGATTGGTAACTGGATTGCTAGAATCCCCCCGGCCTCTCGCGTTCTCCAGGTGCCCGTGGCTGGCGCCGGCACCCACAAAAAAAGTCAGGTAAAGCAGCAGAGTAAGGGATGGGAAGGCTCGATCGGGCCCCTTGTCCCCTCTTTACCCGACTGGAGGCCGCGCGCAGCAAATCGAGCTTTAAAGGGGCGAGTGTCCCCCCACGTCCCTGACTCCAGAGGACCATTTACGGCTTCCAGAGGAGAGAGGGTGCAGGTGATCCGTTCCCTGAGGGCTGATAAGATTCAGTTTCTAAGGCAGCTGTGGGAGGAAAGGAGAGTATAGACATGCCTGCTCTCCCCGCAGTCTGTTGCTGGAATAGAAGCCCCCTCACCCGCTAAGGCTTAAGCGCTTTCAGTTCCCGAGTATTTCCTGCCCGTTGGGACATCACTGACCCTCCCACCAGGTATTTTTGCCTGGCTCCGACTTCTGACCAGGTGCTTAGCTGCAAGTGCCCCGCCCCCAATCTATGCAGGTTCACCCCGGGATCCCACCCAGAGTAGCTGAGTGATTGAGCCCTGCCACCCAGAGTAAGGGTTTTGTGCTTGGCCAGGCAGATCACTTCCCACATTAGAATCAGACCCACTGCTCTTAAAAGGAATTCAGGCAGTTTGGCTTAGGGGGTGCAGGCTAAAGCAAAAGGCAACAAAAGGCTAAGGCAACCAGGAAAGGCTTTTGTAGGAAGGAAGGAGGTGGGGGGGTTCAAGGAAGTGGGTGCGGAATGTGCTACTGCAGGGATAGGGAGGCCCAGACCCAAGGGTCCAGCTGCCCTCCAGATCTTTACTACCTCCCAG